TTGTTTGTTTTTAAATTTTTGTTTGTATACAGTTTGTGTTTAATTTTACCCCAAAATTTTCATTCATAAGGAGCAATATGAACGAGGGGTAGAGACGACAGCTCGTAGGCCTCGACTCCAGTGCTTGGAGTAACGACAGGGCTACGGTGGGGGGTATTTCCCGGCCGCTCGGGATGCATGGAGTATCGACCTGATCCCTCCCCGACTGGAGTCCAGTACAGACCGGCGCGGCGGCCGAACCGAGCCAAGGTACTACAGTCGAGCTGTCACACGTTAAAGGGAGGGGACAACACAAAAACAAAACCGCAAACGCAAATAATTCAAGTCAGATGGTATGCAATATTTATTTTACAAATAATATCTTCTAATAAAACCCCTCCACCCAGATTTATTCCGTTTTCATTAAAGACTTAGCAGATATATGAATGTTCCATTTTCTCTAAGGAATGGAATATCTCAATATCTTCCTGTTTTCTTTTCTTATTTTTTTTTGTTTCGAGTGGGTGAGTGCGTTCCTCGGCCCCTCCGCCCATGCACTCGTCCCACCGTGCCGAAATGTTTGTGAATCATGCGGAATACTTGCGCATACCCAAGAGTTACTTATCCGTTTTTGATGTGGTCTGCTGATGAGATCAGTGCCAAAAGCCGGCCCGGGTGCTGGGGCGGGGGGCGTGCACGGCCTGCAGCGCCACCCCCGGCGGCTGGTCCAGCGCCCTCAGCTGCTGTTCCCTTCGCCGAGCCTCCTCCGGCGTCGTGACCTCGGCGAGCGGCACCGGCGTCAGGCTGAGGCTCGACCTGGGGTTGCCCACGAGCATCCACGTGGAGAGCACAAAGGGCCACGCCAGCACGGGCACGCCAAGCTGGAGGCACACAGACGGACCGGGCTCGCACTGTCAACCGACGCACTCTCGTGGAAGGACAAACTCGCCGCTCCCCTCTGGTTCCGGGGCGGAGTATCTGTTATGGGCTGGATGCCCGTGGAGCCAGTTTGAGCTGGCGAGTTTGTCTGCATTCTCTTCCCGAAAACGAAGCCTATTGACCAGGCCCTTTTTTATCATTTCCGCAGAAACTATTTCGAACAGATAGATTGCTAGAAACAAAGAACAATTCGATTAAACGAGAGAGGACGGATGGGTATGGAGAGAGAGAGAGAGAGAAGGGGAGGGGGGGTCGGAACCCTTTCACTCACGTGGACACCGCACACCGCATCACGCCGGGTGCAAAATAAACGAAGCAGAAACACGGACCGTATTGGGCCCAGCCGGCCCGGCCCGGCCTGCGCAACGCAGCGGAGCGCGCTCGGTGAGAGGGTCTGCGCGCGGCCGGGCGGCCTGGCCGGATGCAGTGCCTCCCCAAAAGCTTTCATTGAAACGGGATGGCGGTGTGCGCAGCGTGGAGGCGCCGGAGGGGACCCAAGTGAAAGGGGAGTGACCGCGGGCTGTGGTCTGGTAGGGATGGGGGGGGGGGGGCGCACAACACGAAACGCAATTAGGAAAGGGGTGGACGGCAGAGGGTTGCGATCGCATCCGATGCACCGGCCTGTGCGTCCCCACCCCCGCATCCGCAACCACCGCTCCCTCCACCGCTCTCCACCCCACTGTCCCCTCCTCCGCCTGCATTCATCGCTCTGCCCGCCCTGCCCCTACTGCTTCCAGGGAGAGTCCCCCCCACCCCGGTGGCAGGGGGGCAGTGTCCGGCCCGGCAGGTGAGCCGAGCACCGGGCCGTGGCAGGTGCACAGGCAGCTGCGGGCAGATGCCTTTCAGCGGGCTTCTGCTTCGTCTGCAGCTGCAGCTGCAACGGCCCGCGCAGCCTCCAGACCTGCTGGGCGGGGGGCACAGATTCATCTGGCGGAGCGAAGAGCTTCACTTCACTGCTGCCCGGGCGGAGGCGGGGAGATTTGACGGCGCGTCTATGTCGTCTGGCTGGAATGAGCTCACTCTGCTGGCTGTGCGCCCCGCTCTCTGGCGGCGGCGGCGCGTCCCGCCCGCGCTGTCTGCGTGCAGTTAAGCCCGTCGCCGCGCCGCCCCTCTCCGCACCCCGGCCCCGACTGAATCATATCAACGCCAACTAACCTAGACGAGTGGGGCGTACTCGTTCCCCTCGGCCGCGCTTTTCTCTCAAGTTTCCCCTTTCACTCCACTTTTTGAATGGTTGCGTCGCTGCCAGCTGCCGGGCCAGTCCAGGGCGACCTGCAGGGCCCTGCGCGCCCTCGAGTCCAGCAGGATGCAGGTCCTGTGCTCATCTGGACAGGCGGGGCCGGGAGGAGGGGCGGGGTGGCGTGGCGGGGCGCCGTTGGCTGCCCTAGTCCTAGGGGCTTTACGAGAGCATTTCACGGCGCAAGTAAAAGCCGGCTGGCTTGACACGCAGTCCCCCTCACCTCCTTCCCTCTGACAGATACCCCCTCCTCTTCCCCTGCCATGTCTGGAGCCACTCTACGGGAAGCAAGCGTTACGCTTGCAGTAGTGTAATTTGGCACTAGTTTTACGTGTTTTTTAACCTTGATAAAAGAGAAATTATGCTGAATATGACCTATAGACCTTCACCAACTAATAAATGTGTCAATGTTTTTAATACGCACATACTTTTTCTCAGCGCTTTCCCTCGCCTTGCCCCGCATGTGTGCACGGGGCGTTGGGCTGTGGAGGTGGGTTGGGGCGGGGGAGGTTTCACTGCCCGCACCGCTCTGTACGGAACGGGTGCACGGCGAATACTCCGAAGCGCTCGCGTGTGCCTGAGGGTTCGCAGGAAATTGAAGTTACAACGTGATTGCCACACACAGCCGACAGAGGTTCTGAAACTTTCAGCAATAATGCAAAATATACTCAAAACATGAAATCCGCGAGTCCTAGGAAGAAAGAGAGCAACCCCCCGCCCCTCAGAAAAAAAATATTTTAAAAACCCACACCTGCTTTACGAGAAACGTATGTCAACCTCAATGCATTAACCTACCACAGCGGAGGCTTTGCTTTCTCCTCCATAAAGCCGGCCCGACAGCCGCGCCCGGCGCCGCACCCTCCCCATCCCCTCGCTCCCCGTGCCCACCCCCTCCTCCCTCCGCTGTAAGCCGACCCTTCACCCCCGTACCTTGTTTTGCCTCCCACTGATAGCGTACAATATGAGAATGTGACAGGCCACTGTCAGTGGCCCCTTGCTATCTCTGTCACTGTTTCCCCCTCCCCATCCGACGAGGCCAGCCAGCCTAGCGCCCGGGTCGTTGGTCGCCAAACCAGGGTCATCCAGTCGCATTAATAGCATTCGAACAATGCCGTGGCGTGGCGTGGCGTGGCGTGGCGTGGCGTGGCGTGGCGTGGCGTGACGCTATGCAAAGGATGGGTTGGAGAGGGTTGGGGTTGGGGGGTGAGTCGTGGACTATGGGCAATGCTATCTGCGTTGCCCACGCGCATACGTGCGGGGAGGGGGTGGGGCGACGGACAACCTGTACTCTCCGATCTGGTCAGGGAAGCTGGGTGGCGCGCGCCACGGGTAGGGGGATGGCGGGTGGACATGCGAACTGCCGGGCTGACGGCGGGGCCGTGTGGCCGGAGAGGGTCGGGGTTTTGACGTGGCGATGCGTTGCCCGCGGCGGCAGCGCGGCGGGGGAGGGAGGGGGGGGGGAGTAACGACACAAGCTTTTGTGTGTAGTTACATCAGTACTGCCCGGGGGAGAGGGTTGGGGGCAGGAAGTCTCGAATGTCTGCATGCGCGAGCATGTTTGTGTGTGTGTATGGTCTGCGTGCACAAGTAGTGTGAGGGAGAGAGGGCGAAAGGCCTCTGTAGACACCATTACTTGATTTCAGTATCGAGAATTATGCAGCAGTGTGTCAGTCCCACTCAGCCAAGTGCATCCAGTGCACCAATATAAAGCTGTGATGCCATGCTCTCCTTCCTCCCGGGCCCTCCCCCCGCCCCTCCCCCGCACCCCCTTCTTCTCCTCTCCTTTCCGCGCGCCAATGCATTTCTGTGAAACGACATGCAGCCGACAGTCGGGGCCTCCGGGCCGGGGGGGAGGGGAGTGCGCGGGGTTATTCTACTATGTCCCCGGCGCCGAAACGCCTCGAGAAGTCTGCATCGTGTTTCCTCCGAGCTCCTTGACAAAACGGAGAAAAACACGGAGGCAAAATATTTTTTAAAAAGGATCCATGATAAACGTCCATTTCCACGACTTTGATAGGGCCCCCACTAGCGCCTCTTCGCCAGACTGCATATCCTGACACCTATTATAGGCAGAGACGGATCAGGACAGATATGAGAGTAGAGCTCCAGCTCCATTCGCAGACAGAAACCGTGTACCGGGGACGCCCACGCACATTGTAACGTATCCGACCTGGTCCAGGTGGACGCAATAAGGACGAGCAGAGCTCGGCGAGCCGCCCCCCGCCCCGCCTCGCCGTTACATATCTACATTCCTCCGCGCCAGCCGAGTATAGTCCGCGTGTGGGACTCTACCGAGAAGACGAGCGCGCAGGTCAGGTAGTGGTGCAATCAGACATTCCGATCACCAGCGCGGGAGAATGCAGCAAATTGAGTCCTATCAGTGTGGGGGCGGGCCGGGTCAGACCGGGGGCGGGCCGAGGGCGGGCTGGGGCGGTCGTGGCGCGGTCAGGAGCGGGGCGGTGCAGTGCAGCATTCCGCGCGAGCTCCTGGGGCCCGGCCCGGCCCGGCCGCCCCCCTGTGTGTCCGCTCACCCTCCCGCCAGCCGGGTTTATACTGACAGCAAGGGTAGCTCATCCACTTCATTCCCCTCTCCCCGCCCACGGTGTACACAGGCAGCCTCGCAGGCAGCGGAGGGAGGGAGGGAGGGGGAGAGAGATTCCCGCAACGCGATACCGCCAGCCGCCGCCTCCGCGCAGCACGACCGCCACAACGACAACTCGACCGTTTATGAGGATAGAAGGGTGTCCTCGGCGCGCCGCCGCCGCCGCCGCCCTCGGATAAACGACAATCAGGGCGAAAGGTTTAAAACACACAGCAGCGGTCGCGCAGGAGCTGGGCGGTGACGCGGCAGCCCCACGCGGCCGCGATACCCGCTCCGCCGGCACCACCACTGGCCTACCGCCAGCGAAGTTTGCGGCAAACGGGCAGCGCCGCTCGACGGCCCTCGGTGTAGGACGTGTGCGGGTCGGTCATGCCTCGCACGAGGACGCGCGTGGCCTCGCGCCGGAAACAACGCCAACGACGGCGCGCTCGTGCCCTGCATGTCACACCTCACTCACACTCTCGCCGAACGGAGCCATTATGCGGGCTTACTGACGCACGGGGGTCTCGAGAGTGGCTCGGGGGGAGCAGCTCGCCGGAGCAGGGGGAGCAGTGCGTGGGTCGCCACACCGAGCAACGCTTCATTAGGGCGCGGTCAGGGGACGAATCGTGGCTGGCGAGTGTGGCTACGTTTCGCACCAAGAAAGGGCAGCAGTGGCTCGGGCATAGCTTTAGCCCCGACAATCTCGCCGAAAGGTGCACTGGATCGGTATGTGGCATCGACGACGCGTTGCTGGCAGGCAGAGGGCATATGCGGCTTCCACACACTCCGGCCATCTGTGTGATTGAGTGGTCTGCGACGCGGCTATTTAATGTACCCCCTCCCCCCTCAAAAAAAGAAGACAAAAGCGAAACACATCAAACTAACATACTCGAATAGACCGTGCCGACCAGAAAGAAAACGGAGTTTGTGTGGATGGCGAGTCGGCCCCCCCATTGCTGGAGCAGCCATGAGCAGGAGGCACCAGGAGGTGGGAGCGGAGAGGAGAGTTTGACGGAGAGTGGCGTGGGGAGGCGAGGAGCGCTCGGCGGGACGAATCGCGGAGGATATATCATCATAAAACAAGCCTTCAGTGCTCTTCGTCCGCGCAGCGCGTCGCAATCCCTTGGCGCCACCACGCCCCCCCCCCCTCGCAAGCCCAGTGCAGCGCAGCCTCCGCCCTTCGTCCGATTCGCAGAGAGATTATCGTATCCCCTCACGTAACCGATGGCTCACCAAACTTTGTGGGTAGGGGTACAAAATATACGCACCGTTAAACGCTTTGGATAGGTGGCC